AGGCCACCGACTTGGACGCTTCTCCGGGACCTCGACTGGATGAACGAGACACCGATGGGCTGCGCCTGGCTGATTTGGACCTTGAGTGAGATGAGGGCCTGCTGTCTCGTCGTTGGGCTGAGCGTGACCTCGGGCGCCTGCTGTGGGATCGACACCTGCTGCCACGTCGTTTAGCTGAACGAGACCCTGAGCGCCGGGTGTGGGATGGGGACCTGCTCTCTCGGCGCTGCTGCTGGTTGCTGCTGTTCCCGAGTGGTGGGAAAGATGCAGAATGGTCTCGAGATGATGGTGAGCGTCTGCTGGAGGAGCCACTGTGAGATGGGTTGCGATGGATGTTCGACGAAGGTTCTTGCGCTTCTTGCTTCGATTGCGGGGTGGGTGGCGCCTTCTTGATAAAGCGATACTTGCAGTTTGAGCTGCCGGTGTTGTGTGCACCATTGCAGACGATGCAGCGTGGCGTGCATGCGGGTGTTTCGCCCTGTCCTGGTGTGGGGTGTTCCTCTCCGCAACGGCGGCACCGCTGCTTACGTGGCATCGGGCAAACATCCGTGCGGTGACCAACCTTGCGGCAGTTAAAACACGATTCCACCCTGTTGTAGAACGGGTACAGCCTGATGTCGGTTCCGTGGTAGAATATCCACTTTGGAAGGTTTGGCGTCATTAGTGCAACCACGACGTGCCTAGTTTGGCCCAAGCGTCTTCCACTCACGATAGGAATGGTGGGGTTGCTGGCTTGTAGGTCTGCCAAAATCTCTTCGTCTGAGAAGTCATCGTATGCATGGAACATGATGCCTCGTATGGCGTCGTCTGGAGGGGGGGCGTAGACATGGAGCTCGATAGTAGCAGCGCCGATGGTAATCGACTTCACTCGAAGGTAGGCTTGGGCGCGTTGCGAGTCGATCACGCTCAAGGTAAAGGTATTATTGGTGGGGTGCGTCCGAAGGCGATCCCGACTTGCTGGTGGCTGATCTGGCAGTGAAGCTGCCTTGAGCAGGGCGTCGTGCAATTGCCACGGCGGCACTTTCGTCAAGTCGATGGGCGTTCTTGGACGTCCTACTATATGAATGGAGTCTTGCGGCAATCGGGGGAGTGGTGCCCGCCGACGTAACCGAGGCGGACGTGACTTGACCTGGGGTTGGCGTTCCGGCACAGCGGCGCGGGCATTCTCCGACGTACACGGTTGAAGAACGGGCTTGCCTTGGTTTTGAAGTTCCCGTCGGCGTCGTTCCTGGGCACGATAGCCGGGCGATTGCCAGGAATCGTCGGACCACTCCTCTTCAGAGATGGTATGACCTTCTACGACGCACTCCATTCCGGTGGGCGGCTGGGCACGACGATGTGAGTAGCGTGAGACGCTGCACCAGGCTTAGGCAAGGAGCCGGACGCGCGCTGAGCCAGCTAGGCTCAGGGCGGCGAGCGGCGTTGGTCGGGTCAGCAGATGCTCCTGGGAGAATCTTGATAAATCCAGTGCAGAGAGTGATATCCGCGCGTTCCCAATAACCTCATGCACCCACTCATACATAAATTATTGGTCAGTAAGCACGCGTCGCAGCGAAAATGCCGAAAGGCTCGGGAGACGATGTACAGTGCGTCCTACTGCTCCGAGCGTCTCCGAGCGACTCCGTGCGCTGATAAGAAAGGAGAGCGAGGCAGACGACTGGCCGAGGGGAGAGCGCTTAGTGGCGATGCCATTGGTCATGTGCTTATCCTCGTTTCGTTTGCAACTCAGCTCCGCCGTGCGGCGCTGACGCACAGTAAAGTCATGGCGCAGAAAAGAAAAGGCACAGAAAAGAAAAGCACATGACCAATGGCACCGCCACTAAGCGCTCTCACCTCGGCCAGTCGTCTGCCTCGCTCTCCTTTCTTATCAGCGCACAGCGCAGATTAACCACGTTCTACTTCTTTTGGATATTAAGGGAGCGTACGATAGCGTGGTTCAAGAGGAATTGTGGGGAATACTGGACGCACTAGGCGTGGAACATGTAGTCACTAATCTTTTAAAGGATATCTATAAAGGTAACATGGTAGTTATAAAGTGGGAAAAACAGGTGTCCAAGCCTGCCGAGGTAAAACGGGGGCTGTTGCGACGCGCGCCTCCGATGACGTTACGAAGGGCGCCTCGAAATCTCACCGCTGCAACTACTGTTCACGAAAGACGGTGACGCCAACACGGTCCCGAAGGCGCCACTGCTTCGAACTCCGCCGGGAAGGTCACCAGCCGTTTGGTAGCGTAGGTTTCTTAGCTCGCGACTGCTTCTGCGCAGAGCTGATAGACGAGCGGATGAGACGACGGTGAGTTCAACAAGGTTTATGTACAGCATATATACAGAGGTGTTACAAATTCGGCACTGGGGCCGACAGAGACTCGAAGAGCCGAGCTCTCCTCTCTAACACATAGGTCTGCTCTCAAATGGGTCTGCTGTCAAAGGGGTCTCTCTCGATGCGCCGCAGGGCTTCTTTTATATGCCCCGGGTCCAACCCAAATGCCCAATCAGAAGCGCCGCTGGTCGCGAGGTCAGAATCCTCCAATGAGGTCGCCGCTGGGCCGCGTCCTTCTTTCTCATCGAATCTGGAAAGGCTGCGCTGCAGGTGGCTGCACCCAAGGACGAGTGACGTCGCCGCGCATTGCGTCAGCCGCCAGACAGGAAGACGCCGGCTGTTTACTCGACGGGCTCGCTTGCTGAGGTGACTCACTGCACGTGCACGCCAGAAAGGCGCCGTCGCCTGTTGACGCCGTTGAGTTGTTCGCGTCAGGCGGACTCGCGGGCTGGCCTTGACACAGATTGCCTTTTTCAGGGGCACGGACGTTCGCTGTCGACTCGCAGGCATAACAGGGCTTAGGCAGGGGTGTCCCCTGTCACCCTTATTATTCATGATGTACGTACAAAGCTTAGAGGCCAAATTAGAGGGAAGTGGACTGGGCTTCAGCCTCTCTTTAGTCAAACAAGGAAAACTTATTGATCAGGCACTACCAGCCTTAATGTACGCAGATGATATAGTGCTAATGGCCAACAACAAGGAAGATTTGCAGAGATTGATGGACATCTGCGGTAATGAGGGAGGTAGGTTAGATTTCAGACTCAGTAAGGAAAAATCAGCAGTCATGATTTTCAATGATAACGAAGGTAGTGAGCTTAGAATACAGGAGGTCACGCTAGAGATAACAGATAAATACAAATATCTGGGCGTATGGATAAGCTAGCAATGGGACCGAGTACCTGAGGGAACACGAAATATACATGACGACTAAAGGTAACAGGAATGCAGCAGTGATGAAAAATAGGGCACTATGGAATTACAATAGGTATGATGTTGTGAGAGGAATACGGAAAGGGGTCATGGTTCCTGAGCTGACGTTCGGCAATGCGGTCTTGTGCATGAGATCAGAAGTTCAAGCAAGATTAGAAATTAAGCAACGTGGAATAGGTAGGCTTGCTTTAGGAGCTCACGGGAATACACCAAATCAGGGAGTACAAGGTGATATGGAATGGACATCATTTGAGGGTAGGGAAGCTAGCAGCAAGATAAAATTTGAGAAACGATTGAGAGAAATGGGGGAGGAGCGTTGGGCTAGGAAGGTTTTCAGCTACTTGTACATGAAGAATGTCGATACAAAATGGAGGAAGCGAACCAGGAAATTGAGTAGTAAATACTTAGAAAATAGCAGGTGGCCAAACCAAAACGAACTATCGGTTAAGAAGAAAGTGAAGGAAACGGAGACTGACATGTGGAGAATGGTCATGATTAAAAAGTCCGCACTAGAGATCTATCGAACCTTTAAGCAGAAAATTGCCAAGGAAAGGACCTATGATAATACTCGGGGTAGTTCTCTACTGTTTGAGGCCAGGACGGGAGTACTGCGAACCAAGACATATCGGGCCAAATACGAAAGGGTAGACACAGTATGCAGTGCGTGTGGAGAGGAAGAAGAAACTGCTGAACACTTGATAATGTCCTATAAAGGGCTTCATCCTATAGTTCAGGATGATAGCGCTGAGTTTTTCAAAGCACTGGGGTTTAGAGACCGGGAGGGCAAAATAGACTTTAAGCGGGTACACTTAACTAGAAGGAGGTTATCTGATTGGTGGCTAAAGTCAAGGCACGAGTGAAAATTAAACCCTTCACTGCAAAGTACGAATCCTCAAACTCACTTTTTAAAGACAAAAAAAAAATAAATCTAGTTTTTGGTTCATTAAGGCTTGGTGGTGCTAGCCACCGCCCGATCTAAAGGGTACAGCCATATCCATCCATCCATCCATCGCCACTCACGCACAATAGCTAAAGATTTGGCTGACTATACGTTCCAGCCGAGACGACTGACTTCGTTGGTCGTAGCGCCATCTAAGGCGGCACCGACTATGCTACAAGCCAAATGATAACAGCCCGAACATAATTTACATGCACGGGAGGGGTTGCACTTTTCATGCTTTAAAGGGAGCACCTGTGTATGCAGATTCTTGCACTGTAATCGCAGGAGCAGCTAAAGCACAGCCAGCTAAAAGTGCCATCGAAAGACACAAACGCTGGGAAGAAGTGAACCAACACTAGCATGAATATTTGTACTGCCGTGGCCACATTGGACTAAATGCTACTTATTGCGCAGAAGCTTTTACCGCAAAGAAAGGATACAAGAAAGACGACAGGACTTTGCGCTACTCCAATCTGAGTACAGTAGTGCTGTGTCTTGTCTTCCTTGCGTCGTTTTGCTACGCATATAGTTTCGTGGGCAAAAAATAACTTTAAGCTATCGTAGCATTTTTTTTTCACTGCGCGGGCGCGATATACTGCGTAGTTCTCTGTGATATTTTTGAAAAAAATATACTTTCTTAGTGCACAGGGAACATTTCAGAAAGAAGGCGTAGGACAAAGCGCACTGTTCTGTCTGCCGTCTTTCTGAAACGTTCCCTGCACACTAAAAAGTATATTTTAAAGAAAAATACAATACCAACTAACCCAAGTCTCTCTGTGATGCACTCTTACCCTTTGCTGTCCACACGCAGGCAACAAGTTCAGCTGCGACTGCCGGTTGGCCTGGATCCTACACCTGGAGAAAGCCACGCGCAACGCAAAGTTCCGGCGAGAACTGCGCCACGTCAAGTGCGACTTCGAAGACGCCTCGGCTGCCAACGCGACCATCGGTGGCAGCAAAGTGGTCCGGTTGAGCCTGAAACAGCTGGGATGCACGGAGGACTACGAGCGACCCGCACTGAGCGATGTCTCGCTCACCACTGACACTCCGGCGTCCGGGCTGTCTTCCGCGAATCCTTACGAAGACGACTACTACTACGACGTCAGCGATGACGAAGCAGAAGACGACGAGAACTGGCCCGGATCACCGCCGCACAGCAGGCAACGGTCGCAAGAGGAGACACAAACCGAAACGAACGAAGTCGATGTCATCCTGAGTCAGCAAAAAGCTCTAGAGAAAGAGGCCTCGACGGCCAGCCACAACCTTCCTCACGGCACGTCTTCGAAAAGCGCGCCGTTTCGGGCCGCGAGTCTGCTAGCTTTCACTTTCTTGCTCTCAGTCCGAGCGCGAAACTGCTTCAGGTGATGACGTTGAATCTGGAACGCGTGGTTGGTCGTCACGCTTTACTGCACAAAAAAAAAAAGAGCAGAGGCGAGTAATGTAGCGATTTGTTCCGCTTAAGTTTGTGTCATTTCTTTGCCCCCTACGCGCTTTTGTCGCTCGCTATTCACGCCCGGCTGATCCCGCTGACAGCGGATGCGGTGTGCCGCTGTGACCGGTGATGGGGACGATAAAAATTGCGTTAGAGCATAATCGTTGCATTATCAACCACCCCCTCTCCTTTGAGATTAGACAAACCAGGAAGCTATTCTAAAATCTCCATCTAATAGACGTGTATACTTTGGCATGAAGTCATCAACGTGTGTTTCATTGCAAAAAAGAAAAAAAAAAAAGACAAGCCAGGACATAATCGCGCTGGTACGTGTTAAACCGAACTCGGAGGTTACGCGATAACAGAATCAGTGTTAACGCATGGCCTCCAACATTCGCGCGGCCATTCTTTTGCTCTCATTTGCCTGGAAAGTTGAGCAAGCTCCGTAACGCCAAGATGACGTTGCGGAAAAACCGGAAAACAGGGGCCGCGCTGCTAGCCAAATCTCCGGCCACTCAACGGTGGACGAAATGGACAGTCCACTAAATGGACGCTTCCAGATAGCTGCCCGGGTTAGTGTAGTAGCAATTTTATTGACGCCCCAAAGTGTAGCGGTGTTCAACTTTCAGAATATTGTCAAGCACACCGATAAAGGCGTCACAAGATTCGCGTTGATTTTTGAGATAGGCTTCGTAAACACATCATAAATGAATGTACAGTCGTAAGCAGGCTTAACACGAACGTTGCGCAGCGTGTGCTGAAACACCATGATTGACGCTAGCGCCGCGTAGCTTTGGGTCCTGCTGTAGAGACTTCACCCGCGATACACCATCTAAGCAATATCTCGGCAACCGCGCCAGCGCTTAACGGCTGACATCAGTCCAGGTCAGGCGTAAGCGTTCAAGTTAAGCTTGCTGACGGCCTCGCCGTGGGGGTCTAGTGGCTAAGGTACTCGGCTGCTGACCCGCAGGTCGCGGGATCGACTCCCGGCTGGGGTGGCTGCATTTCCGATGCAGGCGGAAATGTTCTAGGCCCGTGTGCTTGCAGATTTGGGTGCACGTTAAGGAACCCCAGGTGGTCAAAATTTCAGGGGCCCTCCACTATGGCGTCTCTCATATTCATATGGTGGCTTTGAGACGTTAAATCCCACATATCAATGATTAAGTTTGCTGACGACTGTGCGTTCGGTCTCGTCTATCTGGTGTCCTGCTCTCATAGTGATTAGGTGGCAGACAGCACTAGTTGACAGAAAAAAAAGAACGGTCCTGACCGTCATGTTGTATTACTCCAGGATGTGCATAAGAAAAGTAAAAATGCAGACATGAGTGGTTAGCAAGGTTTGATTACGCTTATAGATATTGCTTTGTATCACATACTCAACCTAACACCAATGAGAACTAACAGAAGCCAAAAGAAGTATAGGGCTGTTATTGTTGCATGTGTCGAACAAAAAAAAAAAACGAGCCCTTAAATCTACACTCACTTCCTTCATTCATAGCAAGGTTCTGGCAGACTTGGTGCTTTCAGGGGACATGCGAGAGATTTTCGGTGAGCTGCCAGTTCGTCATAAAATCACGTGCTACGTGACACCAACAGGCAAAAAGAGTGTTCCACACTCGATCCGATGGCGACAGGTGGTGCTGCCTGACGCTGTCGCATTCAAACGCGCATGTATACCCTATAAAGTGGACGGAGGGACGACCGGCACCGTAGCTCAGTGGTAGGGCATCGGCCGTGTTATTCGAAAGCCGCAGGTTCGGACTCTGCTGGTGGCACGTTACGCTTGAGTCCACATTTCTTTCTTAACATTTGCATTATCATTACTTCTAATAACATCCCCTATACTTTCCCTGACATTATTGCCCTTTAGTTCTCGCGAAAAAAAAAATGCTACATACGTAACTGACTCGCCGACTGCTTCACACAAAACCGATTCCCCCAAAGTGTGGTATCTTCCAAATTTTCGTCTTTACTTCGGTTCGTGAAGCAGTGTTTTGCTGAAAAGTTAATAGGAACAGAAGCTCATCTTACAGCCACAGGTTTCACGGCGTCTAGCTAAAACTGGTGGCAGCCCTCAATGTTCCGAGTGGATATCTTGCCAACTTCCCTGTGAAGTGGTTTGCTCTAATCTAATCATATAAATCATGCTCGTTTATTATGAATCATGCATTTCCATTCGTGGGAAAAGCAATGTTATTTATTCTAGCAACTTAGTTGAAGAGATATAACTTTACTATTAGCACGCAGGAGATATTTTAAAAATATCAACTATGGATGGGTGAGTGGGTGAATGGATGGACGCAAGGACTTCATTAGGGTCCCTCGAAATACGCTCTAGCCCGTAGCAGCTCGCTCTCCCGTCGGAACAGAAAGTCTAAGCATCTCTCCTGTGTCGTGGACCCATTAGACTGTCAATAGCTGTACGAAAAAAAATATATACAGCCCAAATATAATGAGCTGACCATTTTTAAAGGAAGTGGCTGAAAAGTTATCAATTGTGTTGAAAAGAACTGGTTATTTATTGATTATGTTATGGATCCACTGTACTAATTTTTTTGGTTATGCTATTGCTAGACATTATTAAACAATAATGTAGTTTTGACCCGAAGCTACAGCCTTCTGCAACTTTTTTTTTTTTTTGCTGAGCTTGCAGTGGGTGAATGAACGTTTTGCACGTGTAATAGCATTCATTATTTAATTACTGATTGCGACAATGCGAGCTTTCGGTTGGCAACATTTCAGCCTTATATTTTGAGCAAATGAGTCATCATACATGTCCGCACATTAAAAGTACTCAATTTCGGCGACCGAGTGCAGATAAATGATTTTCATCTCTTCAAGATTCCATCGCATCCCCTGAAAATTTGCCTTATCTTGAAGTCTACACGTGAATGTGCTTGGTAAGAATAACATCGCTGTTACTTCAACAGTGGCTGTGAAAATTAGATGCTCTCGCATACTGTTTTGATTTATTTGTAATGGTATCGATCTGACGAAATAAAGAGAACCCTTCAAAACACATTTTAGGGTAACATCACGTCACCATATTTTATATTCTTATAAACCACGCTCACAAAGACAGAAATAGAAGATGCCCACACCACCTTTGGTCTTTACCTGTATCACTATTTCTATCGTAAATGTGCATAATGAATGCAACAAAGTGTGGCATATATGCAATCGTAAACTTTGATCGCACGCTAATTGAACGCACTGTGCGCAAGAATTACAGTTTCAGCGCACACATTAAACTTCCAGTTTTATAAAAAGGTAAGTGTAACGGCGACACAGCAGTAGCGAAGTCACTGTACTATTGAATCCTGTTTACTCCGCTCCAATGACAAATACTTACATTATTTCAGTGTTCCAGTGTAAAATCTTGACTTCGTGAAAGTAAAGATTGCGTTTTAGACTCTACAATTGCGATGACAAACGTTGAAAAGGCAGTAAAACATCCACACCGGTGTTTTCTATCTGCGTCTTACGAAAAAAAAGTCATCTGCAACCATCCGCAACTATTACTCCAAACCATTACTGTGACGAGAGTGCAGACAACTTCGGTCGTCTGCTGTTGCTGTAATGCCATGAGGTCCGTTCGATTCACCTGCACCGGAAGGAACTGGTTCACGGCTGTGCACGCGAAGTTCAGAGATTGTGCAGCGTGAGTTCAGCGGTGCAGGCACAACACGACACCCGAAACGAATGACGATGTGCCGACAAGGTGCAGGCCTTATTTCTTTTCGCTTAATTTACACCGTTCAGCAAACACTGACTGATGGCAAATCGAACATGCGGACAGTTTATGAGGCGCAAACATCTTGGCAAAACACACCGCATTTCTAGAGGCGGGTACGGCGCCTAAGCCACCTACGTCTAAGTGCTGCGTCGTCTGCTCAGCTGCACGCGCGCCAGCACCAAGCCGGCACCGTCAGCGAAGGAGGTGCAGGAAAGTCATGAACCGGTGCTGCACCTATTCTGCACCTTTTGAAACGAATGGCAGGGTTCAGCGGTAAGGCAGCCCTACTGTTACATGGTTGTCTACCGTCTCACGGCAGTTGTCGCTTCTCTTCATAAATAAAAAAACTTTTTCTTTCTCTATGGCGCCGCATTGATAGTGTCAACGCCTTCTAAAAAAATTATGCCTGGAACGTCGCTTTCTTTTCAATTAGGAGCCTCCTGGTAGTACAAAATCTCGAAGGCCATGCCTTCCTCCTTTTGTTGCGACTGGTCGCCGGATGAGACCGCTCACCTCCGTACCGCTCAGTCACGTGACATTGCTTTGTCACGTGACATGATGGTGGCTGGGAGGCATTTGTGAGAGCCACACTTTCCTTCCTCCGTGGTGAGAGCATTGCTGTGTTCGCAGTGGTCGGCCGTCAGAGACGCTTGCCTTCGTACCGAAGGAAGGGGATATAATCAGAGGGTAGGGCAGCGCGTTCGCGGCTCACGTTTCAGGCATAGCTGCGTTGTTAGTGTATAGGTGTTCTGTGGCGCCGCCGTCAACGACGGACTTCTCGCGTGCGGATACTCGAGCCAGAAGCAGAACACCTCTGCGCGCGTTCAACGTTCGAATCTTCGGCACTCGGGAGTCATCATGGAGTGTCTCTTGACACGTGAGAGAAGACCGAGAGCTTTCCACATAGACAGCACTGGCATGCAAAATGTAACCGATGATGGAGGAGTCCAAAAAAAGGTGAGTTTCACGCACTTTCAGTTCAACTATTCAGGTTTCGGATTTCACGGAGAGCAGCTGGAGGGATCCATAGCTTACGTGCTTAGTGGGAGTGAAAAGAAAAAATGTAATTGTCCCAGCTTGGATCAAAGGGGGTGGTGGGCCGGTAGACGGGACCTTCCGCAATTGCCCCCTTTCTCAGACGCCGGCCAGGCCTTGAATCTCAGCGGCGGTTTCGGCCAGTCGGACAGCCCAGATCTGGTCCTCTCCGCAGCATAGCCTCGCACTGCTCGGCCGTGATGATTGTAAATTTAGGGTTTGTGCTTTGTTTTATTATTTTGTGAGTAGCTGCGGCAC